TATCGTTTAAGTACTTTCCACTAAATTTACAAATTTCCGTCTTGTTTGTTTTAATTTATTTTATTTTTACTGTTTAAATTAAATTTGGTAAAAAAATTGGATTTTTAAAACTAAAAGCATTTTATGGATTCTAGATGTGTGGCTTGCCTAGCTTCTATGAGTAGGCGCCATCACGACCCCCGAGGGTAGGAAATCCGGGTCGTGACAAAACTATAGTTACGTATGATAATTAGGCTCTAAATTATAGTTCTTTATAACATTTCCTCATCTTAATATCAAGATGTAGAGTGAAAGATTTGTGAAATTAAGAGAAATACAATTGATCTGAGCATTTTTCTGGGCCCTACAAGTAATATGGGCTACCATTGTTTCTGGATAGATAAAAATAAAAAAGACATGTAGCCACAAGGAAGCCCAATCAATCCATCTATGATATTCTCAGGAAAAGGAAAGGAATAGGGAAGAGTCATAAACAAGAATAACAACGAGACTCTGTATAGTGGAAGAGTTTAAGTTCTATATGCACTGGCGGCTAAAGAATATATGTACTGACGTTATAAAAATATTTACACAATCAAATAATTATAATAGTTACATATAAGTCTTTATGATAAACATTAACTGCTCTTTTGATACAAAATGAATAACTTCTTATATAATAGCCACAATTCTTCAACCAAAAAGCTTACGTAGAACGTGCTTATGGCCCCAATGTTACTGGCCTGAAAATTAGTACTCGCCCCTTCCTAATATATGCGACATTTTTTTGTCTAGAGTTAATTTGACTAACTTTAAAGTTAAATTAAATTATATTAATTTAATATTTTAAAATTAAAATATAGATATTCAAAAACTATATGAAAGTATTTTAAGTCGCAATTCTTCTCATGTCAATATGATAAAAAAAAATATTTCAGAATATTAGTTTAAATTCACCTAGTTTGAATCTCGAGAATCGAAAAATAACACATAAATTACGACATAGGAAGTAATATAAATTGGAAGTATAGTGTTTCACTCGTTATATTTTATCTTTTAAACACAATCAATAAGAGTCCGATTCATTAAGAAGTCGATCACATTAACAAAAGAAGATGACAGTCAAATGTCAGAAAAGATTAGTTAAAAGAATATAGAAGTGAAGAAATAATAGGGGTGTTCATGTTTCGGTTGGATCGGTTTTTTTGTAAAAAGAAACCAAACCAAGTAAGTCGGTTTTTCAAATATTAGAACCAAACCAAACCAATTAAGTCGGTTTTTTCTCGATTCGGTTTATGTCGGGTTTTCGGTTTTTTCGGTTATTGTCGGTTTTTCTTAAATATAAGACATACACTACCAAACACATATTCCGGAGACCACATTTTCAACGTAACACTATCAAATCAATTGCCCTTTGAGAAATCTATTATTTAACAAGATATATTGATGATAATTGAATCAAATAGTGATGAATAATTTAAGGACTCAATTAAAAATATATTATTTTTAACACGAAATGGATTCTTACACTTAACAAAAGAAAACTACCAATCAAACTAGAATGTAAAGGTAAAGCACTATACTAAAAGTGCAAACTATTAACATTTACCATTAAAATTTTGAAACTTTGTATAAAAATATACATATATATAGGTGTAATAATAAATTTGAAATAGCTACTCCTATAGTCGGGATTTGGTTCGGTTATTTTTTGGTTTTAAGTATTTAAAACCAAAACCTAAACCAAATTTGATTGGTTTTTAAAATTCAAAACAAAACCAAACCAAACCAAAAAATATCGGTTTTTTTCGTCGGTTTTTGGTTTGGTTCGGCTTTTCGGATTTTTATGAAACACCCATTAAAACATAATGAGATGGGATATAAAAGTAGAGGAAACCTCAAAACTAAAATACGTGCAGACAAGTCCGTGATCCATCTTTAAAATTTCATCTCATGGCCTTTTATGACCCGTGACTTTTTATTCTACTCTCTTCAATCAGGCTTTACTAACCGCCGTCTTCTACACATTTTAGGGCTTGCCTCATAGTCACTTACTACAATGTAATTAATTTTTTACACCTTGTAATTTAACATATTGTTAATGGTTATTTTTCCTTATTTTATGTTAATACTGGTTGTTAATAGTTACATTTAATTACCTTTAACTGACTTAATAATGTAAAAATGATTTACACTATCAATTGTATAAGAGTTAAATCCCATATCGACGTTCATAATGAACTATAGTTGTTTATTCTCTCATTTAGACATTAGAAGGGCAGCGACATATCTTGTCTTTCGATTAAAAGGGGCAATCCGGTATTCACGCAAGGTTCGGGAAAGGATCAGATCCAGTGACGGATGCAGATGGGTGCTCGTGGGTGCTTAAGCACCCATTAACTTTGACCATATTTAGTAAATTTACATAGGCAATTGTATAAATATTTAAATAAATATTGAGTGAGCACCAACAAGTAATTTCATTTTTCCTCTTCTTTTGAAGTCTTTATCGGCGAGCACCCATTACTTTAAAATCCTAGATCCGCCACTGATCTGACCCTAATGGGGTGTGATGTAGGCAACCTACCCTGATGCAAGCATCAATGACTGATTCCACGACTCGAACCCGTAACCTATAGACCATACGAAATGACCGTTACTCCAAAATTCCCTTGTTTATCCCATCTTTCGATTGTATTCGGCAATTTGAGGCTCTGGAATTAACATTTTTGTTTAACTTCTTATATTTGATCCATCCCACCTCCTGGGGATCAATATTGATCTTTTACTTGCGCCTAAGTATAAATCAAAAAATGGATATTATTAATTGAAAACGGAAGTGGCAAGTTTCTGTATTTTGAAAAAACAATATTTGTGTTTGTAGCCTATTTAAGGCATGTTATAGGACATATAACTGACGGAGAATATCATATACGTCTATAACAAGGTTTCATATCATTTTGGCCTTCAAAAACATCTCATATTGCTCGATCGAGTAATTGAAGTTATATCAAGATCGACATTATAATAACGGACTACTTTATCCTTTTTTGGGTTTATCGTGTTATCGAAGTTATATTACTTGCACATTGACCTATGAAACAACAATCTTTTCCCCTCTTAAATTATATACTGATAGAATCTACCAAACATAGTTGCCGTTTTATATATGTATACTTGTATGGAATTTCATTTTCATTCCTTTTACGGCCGAGTAAGAGCCCGTTTGGCCATGAATTTTTTTTACTTTTTTCGAAATTTTTTTACTTTTTTTCGAAAGAGTATTTGGTCATAAAATTTTTAATTTTTACCTAAAGATAAATTTTGGAATTTTTCGAAAATTTAAAAAATTAAAAAACAACCCAAAATTATATTCATGTCCAAACACAACTCTAATTTTCAAATACCATTTTCACTTGAATAAACGGACATAATTTAATATTCTCTCTCTCCGCCCTCAAAGGTTGAGGTTTGTACATTTTTCTTTTCTCAAATTTGGTGTTGTGGATTAGTGGAGTAATTAGTTTTCAGGTGAATAAACGGAGATAATTTATCTATCTTTTCAGAATTTCAGGTCTTAATACTAAGACGAGGAAAAGGAAGTTGACCAGATCTATATGTATATATATTCTAACTTTAGTTAGATCTTAGATAAAGCTCAAAGTACAAAGAATAGGACTAGCTATTTAGTTCATTCGATTTGTCGCAGTGAACATTAATTCCATATTTTATTGGGACAAATAATTGAAAGCTTGGAAGAAGCATGTACATTTTGGTCCAACCCACCTCTGTCTTAAATGCCATTCCACCGCATAGTTGTCAAAATACTCAATAAATTCAAGAAGTATTTTACTATAGTAAAGGAACAATTTCAGTAAATCAAAAAAATCAAGATCCATCAATCCTTACAAAAGCTTATCCAAAAAAAGAGTAGAGAATGTCTATAGTTAACATTATTATAAAAATGATAATAACCTGTAAAGATGTTTTAAACGCGTTTTTCTATATGCGTGTATATATGTGTGGGAAGGAAGAAAAAAAAAAAAAAATTAAGAAAATCATGGAAAATAAAGAATTTGGTATGTTCACTGGATTTTGACCCAAATTCCTTCACTTGGTATATCTTGATGAACCACAAAGAGTAGATAGTATCCAGGTGGGGCTAATGTAGCCGAATTTGGAGTGACCACATTTATTTGGTAGGCTTTTTCTCCCACTAGTTTCACATTTTCACTTGCTAGTACAAGTAATCTTTGGTTCTGAGTAAATGAGTGTGTGTTAAATCCTGGTGCAACCATTGTTACCGTGACCAAATTTCTGTTTACCCACCCGGAAACCTTAAACCGAACCGGCACCCGTTGCCCATACCCGATTGTAAATTGTGAAGCGGGTGAAATGATCTGTGGGCGCAAATATTCAGATTCTGGATCCAAATAGGATGGTGAAAATGCCTCCAAGCTTAATTCTGTAGGAAAAAGAACTCCTGTGAAGTTGTAATATATATGTGGGTTACTACCAGCAATAAGAACCCGACCATCTCGAAGTAAAGTAGCTGTTGAATGGTACATTCTTGGTATGGTACTCGGGTTCTGGATCTCAAATCGAGAACCAAAGGGGTTGTCGGGTCGGTAAATCACGGGTTTCAAAACCGGGTCCCGACCCAGTTCCCATCCAGCCGTGCCCGTGGCTGCTCCATTAATGATCAACACATTCCCATTTGGTAAAATCAGCATGTCACCCATTGTCCTAGCCAGTGGCATGTTCTCCATAGTCCATTGTGGATTCGGGTCGGTTATTCTGATCCGCCCGCACGTACTCAAAGCAGCAAGAAATTTACCATTTTGAGCACTGATATATGAACCTTTTGGTGCTCCACCACATACCAAAACCTCAGCTTGAATTTGTTGGGTTTGTAAATTCTTCAATGGAAGAAGAACAGCAGAACCAGTGCTAGGATAACTTCTCGGGTCTCCACCTGGTATTTGAGGGTAATTTTTCACCACCACGTTCTTAGTATAATCAAACAAGATAGCTCTGTTATTGGCAAAAATGAACAAATTTCCATCCACATTTAGAAAAACAAAAGGGTATAAATTATTCTCAATTTTAGGATCATTTGTCTGCACAAGAAATGGCAAACTGTATGCTTTATAAGCTGAAGCAGGCTTAGGATAAAACTCATAATTAAAAGCCCGACGACCACCAATGACAATTTGTGTACCATCTGGTAATATATGATTTGTAGCATACCATCTTCTTTGAGCCAAACCACCTTGAATTTCTTGCCAGTCACAAGTATTATTACCATTACATGGTTTGAAAACTCTTACAACTTTCTCACCATCATTGAATCCACCAGTTTGGACTAAAGAGCCGTCAGGAAATACAGCACCAGAGGAGCACCAAACATCAGTTTGGACCATAAGCGGACGTATAGAGTTAGTGACAATGTTGTACTCGACAGAATGAGCAGTGCAGTCAATTTGTAAGGTGGTGTCATTTGGGTCATAGCGACATTTTCCATCGGGCAATGAAATGTTGGAGTGACCAAAATCAGTACGGTCGAAAATGACGACTTTGTCATTGTTAATGAGTTGCATGTGCATGGCTGAAATGCCGATGTTTGACATTAGTAAGTTCCATTTGCCACCAGCGGCGGAGGCAAAGTTCGGCCGGTGACATGATAGTAGCAGAAAGAGATGCAAAAGAATGAAGAAAAGAATACTAGTACTAGTTGTAGTCTTCATAATGAGTTTTGGTTTCTGACAGCAATTACGACAAAAGGCAAAGGTAGTAATCAGTGGAAGGGAGTACTGAAGTTTTTGTGTATAGAATAGAGGTGAATTAAATAAAATCCTTGGTTGGGATGTGTGTGGTTAATAGAAGTCTAAGGATGGATGTCCTTTATATATATATATGGTGTGTCACGGTAGTAGCAAAGTAGGAAGATATGTTAGTACCACAAGCAAGCAATCGCGTGACGAATAATTGCGGCCGGAAATGGTTTGTCAGGAGGAGAAAGGGTTAGTACTCCTAACGGGGAAGTGCACGATTAGCCACTAATAACATATGTATTTACTTTTAAGCCACCATTTGAAATGTCTTTAGTCTTTAGCCACTGCTTTAATAAACTTTAACTGCCCGGACGAAAATACCCTTCTGCTCATGTCCTTAACTTTTGTACTTAATTAACTTCAGGACTACATGTCCTTAACTTTTGACCTTGGAACTCTAATTTCAGGACTTCAGGACCACATGTCCTTAACTTTTGAACTTGTAACTCTAAGTTCAGAACTTCAGAACCACATGTCCTTAACTTTTGAACTTGTAACTCTAAGTTCAGGACTTCAGGGCTACATGTCCTTAACTTTTGAACTTAGAACTCAAACTTCAGGACCAAGCGTCCTTAACTTTTGAACTTGTAAGTGAAAGCTAAGGACCTATTGTCCTTAACTTTTGAACTTGTAACTGTAAGTTAAGGACTGCTTGTCCTTAACTTTTGAACGTGTAACTGTAAGTTAAGGACTGTCTGTCCTTAACTTTTGAACTTGTAACTATAAGTTAAGGACTGCTTGTCCTTAACTTTAGAACTTGTAACTGTAAGTTAAGGACTGCTTGTCCTTGACTTTTGAACTAGTGTCCTTAACTATTGAACTTAACTTTTGAACTTGAACTAGTGTTATTATTTGCCTAATTGATAAAAATACAAGTGACGACGATTTGTTTTCTAGAGAATGAAACCAAAATTCTCTTTGATTACTCTCAGATTTACAATACATGTTTATTCCTTAGTAAGCTTACATAAGGCGAATTCGAAATAGTCGCGTCATTAGACTTCAAATGACGGGTGGTTAAACAAAAAAAGTAAAAGGTTAAATGCCAGAAAGGAACGAAATATTCTTTTAATAAATAAAGAACAACGTTCTAACATTGATATTCATTCGTAAGCCAAGTATATGTTTGAATCAGAGTTACAGCAAAAAGGAATTGATCAAGTACAATTATAAACACAGGTGCAAATGTATTGGCCAATAGTGGCGCCAGAACTTGAGCAAAGTTCATTCCCGTTGTATTTCTGAAATCATTCCATTCCCATTCAATACAGTTCTTCTCCTTAACATGAAAGAGATAGAAGAAAGGATAACACGATCTTTTCATATTAATTTTAATAGACTAGTGGCTACTATTGCTAAGCATTAAAAATACTGGATAAAAAGTAAATACCAGCTTAAACAGTGGCTACCCCACGCCATTTCTATTCTTAATTTATGTGCTATAGAGGGTCAAATTTTTCTTTAATCGTACCTTTTTAATATTTTTTAAATATTTTGAATTGTTATATCTTGAGGTTATAGTCCCTTCTCCGTAGTTTTTAAACATACAAAATTTATTTTCAAAAAATTGAAGAATCTAAGCTCGAATTCACGATCAAAATTAAAAAGTTTCACTCTCGAAATTCAAACTTTACCACATGAACTAAGACAAAAGAAGTACTAATTTATATGGAGCTTAAACTCGTATACATTTGACCGCGTAAAAAGAAGTTACACTACTATCATATCGTCAAAAAGATACTTACAAATAATATTCCTAGAAAATAAGATAAAAGAAAAGTGCACTTAATAACCTTAAAATTAATATGGTTTGTTACCTATAAGTGAAAATATATTAATTAAAGTTTTTTACATTGTCGAAACATATAAGTTATTATCTTTTATAACAATGTACATAAACTAATTAGAGCACCGGCCACTTATTATGGAAAAAAGAGTAAATTTGAATAAAATCAAACTACAACAGTTTTAAATTTATTTGCATATGTTAGTAATGATAATTTGCCATAATTTAATTAGTTCCAATATCTGGACCTTTTTAATTATTAATAAAGTAATAAAACAATTTTTCCTCGGCTGTATGTAAGAGTTACATTGTAATAAACCGTAAAACACTGATAATATAAAGCTTTTTACACTATCTTGTTATTTTAAAACCTGTAATAGGTAATTTATAGTACATGTGTATAAGGTGGTACAAACATATGGTAAATAACTTGTTTTTACTTGTAAACTACACATATTGATAATATAAAAGTTTTGATGACTTTACTTTGTATTATTTGAAGAAAAGGAAAAAAAAGTTCCCCTATTCCAAAAGGAAATTGTTATGAAACAATAAAAGAAGAAGAATAGTATTGCAGAGAAAAGTAGGGAGAGAGAATTCTTATTGATTTTGGGATGAATTACAATGGAATAGAACCCTCTATTTATAGGGAGAGGGTGACTTAGCCACCAATTAATAAACCCTAGAATCTCCCTAAATATAGACATTCACCATAAATATAATTGTATTTATAACACTCCCCCTTGAATGTCTATTCAACAGATAATGTGCCTCGTTAAAACCTTAACTAAAATAAAACCCAGTGGGAAAAAAATTCTAGAGAAGGAAAAAGAGTACACATATCTAACAATACGCCTTTTGGTTGCCTCGTTAAAAACCTTGCAAGGAAAACCCAGTGGGACAAAGCCTTGTAAGGGAAAAAGAGTACAACGCGTATTAACTCCCCCTGATGAGAGCATCAATTCACATCCTTGAGCATTTGCATTCCAATCTTGTGCATCATCTTCAAAAGATCTTTGGTAGAGATTTGATGAACAAATCAGGCATATTAACTTGAATGAATATATTGCACCTTGAAATCATCATTCTTGATAGAGATGAATTGTCTTCATATGATCTTGTTGGAATCGTCAGTTCAATATCTTCACATAGAGGTGAAAACTCTTGCTATCATATTATCATGCATATAGTTATAGCAAGATACATTTGTGCACAAATTGCACTGAGGATGTAGTACTTCATGACCATGAATTCTATATGCTTTAAGCAATTTAAATCCTTCAAGGATTTTCAAGTCATATAAGCCATATAATAGACTTTAGATGCATATCAAGTTTTCATGTCATGCTAGACATATAAGATATCGAAAAACTGATTGCACATACCATTGACTTTATTCAAGTGTTTGAACTACATGTTCAAAACTACATGTCTTTCATATAAAACCAATTCTATTTGAATTGTGTCTCTTCTATTTGGCCAATATTTTTGTGTCTTTAAGTGACGAGACTTAAGATCCTCATCTATACTTAGCGCTATCATAGATGTCGTCGACAAACATTTTATATCAGTTTCAATATATTTTCATAATGACTTAACATATTTTCAGGTACCTGAATCTCTCATGAGATTTTATGAAGTGTTATGTCATGTGATCTTCTAGATCACTTACCTCCTTTATTATGATCATTTTGATCATTTGCTCATCTTCTTTATCAAGAAGTTTATTTGAAACTGATTGTCTATACGCTTTAAGCTTACCGTAGACTTTGTCCTTCAAGGACTTAATAGGAGCATTTGCAATGAGAATATAGTTACTTTCTTTGGGTCAGCAAATGCGTCTGGCATGCTTTGCAATATATTGCAAATGAATTTTGTTTTTTATGAACCTCGAGTTCATATTATCTTATTCGAGGATCTAGATGTACAAATGATAATTCATTCCACGTAACTTTTTCTCAACTGTTTATCATGTCTCCCCCTCATGTTAGAAAAACTGACTTGTTTCCTCAACTTTGAGAATCCACCTTTTATGCGTTATGGTGTTAATCAAAATATACACCGCACATCAATAATAATAAGATGGAATTATTTGGTTCCTGACCCTGAACCACTTGTGAGGGGAGAAAATAATATACTTTGGTATATAACGTAAGTCAAACTGATATAGATAACTTTGTTCTCATAAGTAATTGTTTAGCTATTAAGTAGAGGCACTTAATAAATTATTTTGCTAAACCAACTTATCAAGATGAACTTCTTGAATAAAAAATCTGGAAATTATGCTCGAAATTAAATTATTGAGCAAATTACCTCGCAAACACCATGTTGCGGGTTAATAATAATAGCACATGTAACCATATCATAGATGCATCTTATGTGGTATGCATGGCAGATGAATGGGCCCATATTCACCTTTGATATTTCCAGCATTCATGGGATTCAATCCCAATTTTAGTTGATCTATTAATTAATGAGAACAAGCAATATAAGAGAATTCGTAAAGAACTTTCTAGTTCTTTAATATTTACCCATGTGAATTCTCTATTATTTTTGCACATCATAACATGAATTAACATGGCTAAACCAAGTATGCCAACTGGATAAATTATCAATATTGATAAACTTCAGGTTTACACCATGATGTGTGCAATTATGAATAAACTCCAAGTTTATTATGATAAGGGTTGTTATATCAATAAATATCCACTTCATTGTGGTATTCTTTTGTTTATGTAGTACAAATTGGAGAATAAAGCGAGTAGCTTTTCACATACATATTACCCCGCTACAAGATGTAGTAATAGAAGATATTAAATCTTTCCTTTATTTATAGTCTCAATATAATCAACCGCTTTCGCGTATACTTGGAAACTGAATAAGTTTCTTTGAGACTTACTACAACACAATACCTTGTTGGTAACCAATTGTGTTTCTCCAAAATAGTATAATTGGCTCTTGCAGAGTTCTCAATTAATTTTGTAGTACCACATATTCATCAACACCCATATGGTGAATATCTCTTTTAAAGAGAAAGTTATATCATTATGGTTATTGTCAAAATTATATGCAAGATATGTTTCTTGCATTAATGTTATTCTTTAATAATTACATTACCAAAATATTTTGAAGTACAATAGGTACGTGACCAATGACCATTCATGCCATAATAATGATATTATTTTCTTATATCATCTCAAACCTCCTTCTAGAGGTGAGCGTGGTATATTCACTACCACTGGCAC